CTCAAAATCGACTCGACAGAAACGGGTTTAGTTTTTTTTTTTTTTTGGTTTAACATTATTTCCTTTTATAGAGAAAGAATGTGGGAATCAGAAAAGTTAAGTTACAGTCCCAGGGACATGCAACTACTGAATGGCAGAGGTAGAATTCAAAGGAGGGTCGCTCTGACTCCAGAGCATGAGCTCCTAATGATTACCTCTCTGATATGGAGAAATGCCCCGTGTCTTGCAAGAATCATAATCACATGCCTTCCTTGCACGGCATCTGAGCCTCCAAAGATACCAGTCAACTTCAGAAATACTTTGACTCCAGACCAGTTTTCTCAAACTTTAAGAGTGCATCAGGATCACACGGAGGGCTTGATAAAACACAGGTTACTGGGCCCCACTCTGAGAATTTCTGATTCAGTGGGTCTAGGGTGGGGCTTGAGAATGTGCATTTCTAACAAGTGCCCAGGTATCTTTGGTGCTGTTGATTTGGGAGTTATACTTTGCGAACTACTGTTCCAGTCATTCTAAACTAATGTTCTCTAACTGTGCCTCATTGCCATAAGATGCCTCACCTACATGATTGTTAATCTTTCACTGTTTAGTCCTAGATCCCCTGGGGCCTTGCTTGACAAGGTATCATGTTATATTTGGCAGTGTTGTGTGTTTTGGAATTCCCCGAGCTCTTCGGAAAATAGTGAACATCTCCCATGCCAAAAATAATTCATAGCTGCCTTTAGGTAAGTCCTGCAGACCTCCTGAAATGTAGACAGAGGAGCCTGGGAAAACCAGCGAGAGAAAGTAAAGCAGCCTGGCCCCCCCCTGAGACCAGACTAGCTCCCTCAAAGGCAGGCTCAGTCTTTTTCTAACCTCTTGGGATTCCTTTCGAGGAACTGAACGTTTAAGAGGCCACTCATTGAAACCTCTTCAGAGCATTCACTTTGAGAAATTGAAAAGGAGTTTGTTATGGATTAAATTGTGTTCCCCCCAAAATTTGTGTTGTGAATCCTAATCCCTATACCTGTGAAGAATGCTGAATATACCATGGACTTCCAGAAGAACAAACAAATCTATCTTGGAAGAGTACAGCCAGAATGCTCCCAAGAAGTAAGGATGGTAAAACTTCATCTCCCATACTTTGGACATGTTATCAGGAGGGACCAGTCCCTGGAGTCGGACATCATGCTTTTAAGTAGAGAGTCAGTGAAAAAGAAGACCCTCAATGAGATGGATTGACACAGTGGTTGCAACAATGGGCTCAAACATAGCAAGGACTGTGAGGATGGCGCAGGGCCCGGCAATGTTTTGTTCTGTTACGCACAGGGTCTCTATGAGTTGGAACCAACTCGATGGCACCTAATAACAACAGCGTACCTGTGGATATCATTCCATTTGGGAATAGGGGTTTCTTTGTTATGTTAATGAGGCCATATCAGTGTCTAGGGTGTGTTTTAAACCAATTACTTTCGAGATATAAAAGGAGCAGATTAGTCACAGAAGCAAGGAAGCACCAAGGGAGGGGAAGATACACGCCAGGAGAAGATCACCAAGGAATGCCAGAGAAGCTAAGATTTGCCTCCAGAGCAGTCAGAGCCTTTCCTAGAGCAAGTGCCCTGAATTCAGACTTCTATCTCCTAAACTGTGAGAAAATAACTTTCTGTTCGTTAAAGCCACCCACTTGTGGTATTTCTGTCCTAGCAACACTAAGAAACTAAGAGTTGCAACGTGGTTGACGGGCCCTTTAATACCCCTCACCCCCCCCAACACATTCCTCCATCTGAAGATGAGGCTGTGACTGTATTCTGTGCACTCCCTATTTAGCTAATTTTCTTTCTCTGCTCAGTCTCCATGGGAGACCGTTAAGGAAATAAGAAAGCCCATGGTCCAGGTCTGTTCTCTCAGAGACAAGGCTGGAGAAAGGGGCCAGTAATCAGGATTAACCAATTTAATGCCTGACTTGTTTACCCTGCAGAAAACATCACCTGGTGATATCCCCATTGATCCCTTCAGAGTGTGGCATCTTTATCCCAGGCCTTGGTGGACTATGAAAATAAATGAATAGTTTAGTGACAAAGCAAAAGAATTAATCAATGGAAGAAAAATAATTGCAGGGAACACATGTGATGATGATTAGTGCAAAGCAGGCCCCACTGCCTTTATGCCCACAGCTGCAGCTGTTGCAGGTGTTGGTATGAAAAGAGCAATAAATGACTGGTTCTTGAGAAGGGCTCAGACATAAGTATAAGGAGACTTCAGCACTGGGAGGAAGTCTTTTGGAAACAACCACGCCTTCTTCATGAATCACTAAGGGCAACAGAACCAATGAAAGGCAGGCTTTATTTGGGACAGAAAACAATCAAGTTTTCTGGAGTATTTTCCTTTTCTTCAGGCAACAACTAATAACCACTCGTCACCCCACTTCCACGTGGCCAGCTGGGGGGGAAATGAATTGTATGGATGTCAGGATGATCCAGTCTCAGGGGGTCTGTATCTGGGCCTAGAGATGAGAACTTCTGATTTCTGACCTCCATCAACCGAGGCCATACCATAAATTGCACAAAACAGAAGTAAACCAGAAAATAAGGAATAAGAAGATTAGACAGATACTAACACTATAAGGCAAGCACTATTTGCAGCTCTTTTTGTCTCCTTTACTTCTATGACAACTCCGTAAGACCAGTGTTATTATTATATCCAATTTATAGATGAAGCCATCAAGAAACTATGAATTCAAGCAAACTGTCTACGCTCACCCAGCAAGTAAATTGAGATTGGAATTTAACTCAAATCATAATCTTAATCCTTATGCTATATTCCCTACACACAGTGCAAAACATATTTTGATTATTAAAACCTAGAAAGGACCAAAAGGACAGTGCAAAGGGCAGGGAGAATCATATTGTCTGTGCAGAGGTATGCTGAAAAGCGTGGCTAGGTCACCCATGCAGTAATTGGAAGATATGGACTCTGTCCAGCTCTCCCATACCTGAGAGGACTGTAACTCAGTCACAGCCAGGCACAGTCCTAGTTGGAAGGGATTATATAAGAGAGACTGGGGAATAGGGAAGGAAAGTAATGAAGACCCTATTCTGTCCTAACACCTTTCTGAATCTGAAGGAGAGACATGGGCCAAATGCAGATGAAATAATCAATTAAAGATTCCTATTTCACATTTTACCAGGAATATACACCAGCCAGCATCATCAGTGAGAGAGAGAGAATGTACTTAAAGTTAGTTCTTGGCCCAACAGACTGAGCTGCAATACCTCTAAGAGAACTAACAAGACAAACCTCAAAATGAAAGCCTGTCTAGTCTAGGTCAAGGTATGATTTCGTGCAGCTGCTTTGATTCAGTGGTTCTCACCTTTCCAGATGCCTCCCCATCCTGCAACACTTTGGCAGTCTAAAACCACATCCTCCTCCAGCCCTCTTCTACACCCCATCATTGGCACTGGGTTGCAGACTTGTCAATGAACTACTTTATGGTCCTCCCCTTGCCATCTGGCAATATTAGCTCTCTAATGAATTGCACTAACTTGGCCTCTTTTTTTCTGGATGAATATGACTTTTAGTTAAATTGTGCAACATTCATAAATAGTAAATGCTGGCTGATTAAAATCAACAAAAGCTTTTAGAGTTGCCACAAAATATGGGTTCTTGGCTGCACGAGTTCCTTGGAGAGCCTAAGCATTTGAAAGGAACCTGATTATTTTTGGAAAGAACTTTTTACACACATAGCCTTATGTCATCTGTTATTTATATATTTGTGTTTGTTTGGATGGATTCTTGAAAGCCATCCATGCTATGAATACAAGTACCAGATACACTTGGTTTTGGAGCTAGATATACTTGGGTTTGAATCCTATCTCTATTACTTACAAGCTATGTGTACTTGGGTAAGTTTCTTAATTTGTGTCTCCATTTTCACATATGTAAAATAGATATAATAAATTCCTTGCAAGATTGTCAAGAGGAATAAATGAGACCATGTATGTAATGTACTTGGCACAGTGCCTAGGCATAGTATGGCTCAATAAATAGTAACTATCTTCATTATCCTCATGTTCCAATAATAGAGGATTGTTGCAACACTCCTTGTGGTCTCTGCCCAGCCCATGATCATCCCCTTTCTGAAAACTGCCACCATCATTCACAGGCATGGGCCCCAAAGCCATATATTTTTTAAGCTATATTTTTGTCATATGACACCACCTTAGCCATTGAACAAGAATGAGGAAACTAAGGAAATGAAAGTTTAAGCAATTTGCCCATGCTCACCTAGCCACTGGGTTCCTGATCCAACTTAGCAGATTCTCTTTCCTGAAATTTTGGGTTAGGAATTGGTCCCCACTGGTCCTCTGAACTAAGAAACTGTGGTGGTCATGTCTGGCAATGTGCATGCCAAGGCAGTAGAAGTCAGTCTGCAGAATGATACAGATGTGCAGAGAGAAGCAGATCTAAAATCTGACTTTGACTTGGAGGTTAAAGAGAGTGATGACTTGGTTCCGTTGACTTTCCACTTCCAAGAGAAATTCCATTTATTTATTTGTTTCTTTCTTTCTTTCTGTTTTTCTGTATGTCTATCTGTCTTTTTTTCTATCCCTCTGTCTATCTACCTCCCTTTTGCTTACTACTTTGAGTGGGTTTCCTCTGTCTTCAACCAAAAGTTCTCTGCTAACAGTGTCATCTCTGTGTATGAGGCCACCAGAGCTACTCTGCGTAGCTTGGATAGCCTAAGTATTGAAAGGCACCTGATTATTTTTGAAAAGAGCTCTACACACACACCTACACACACACACACACACACACACACACACACCCTTATGTGATCTGTTTTCAACTCTCGAAAGACATCATGTAAAAAATAAAAATAATTATGTATGTAAAGAAATCATCTGGGTAAAAAAAGGAAAAAAGAATAAAAAAAGCCACGAGCATTTCTGATCTTACAAAAAACAGGTCATCTTATCGCTTTCCAGAATTGAAGCAAGAATGGAGGGACCCCAGCTCCTTACCTGGTGTTGCACTGGATACTGTTGGCCACTGTTGATCAGGCCCTCCTGGACCAGCCCGTAGAATGCCAGCCTCTTCCAGATGCACAGAGCTGAGTAAATACACAGACCCAGATAATGGTTATACCATAAATACCTTTCCAGCTCTCCTTCCACCCTCGAAATTACATCTATGGAGGCAGGGCTGCAGCTACCACACTCTACTCATGTTTGAATGGAAGCAATTACCACTGAGCAGTCACCTTGCATGCACTGTGGTATTGTTGACTTACAGACTGCTATACTATTCAGGCAATAAACATGTTTTATCTTTATGACAATTTTGGTTTTCATTAACACCATGTGGTGCTCACTAAATCTAGCAGGAAGTCCATTAGAGAGCAAATGTCATTTCAACATCTTAAAGCTGAGCAAGTGAGGAGCGCTCGTTCTCAAAAGCCCCAAGCTTCTCTTGGCAGGTTCCCTTGTTCCTGAGTTCTCTACAACAAAGAGGAAAACACACTAAAATCACTTTCTTTAAAGTGTATTGTTATTCCAGATTGGTTACCCAATTTATTCTTAATCTTATTTTCTGTTTTAATCTTGTTATATATTTTATGCATAGACAACTGGGAGGGGTGAGGGATTTATAAGTTCAATAGTCTCACTCTTTGACTTTGAACAACATATCTATTGCAAATTCATTTATTAAACTCTGCCCTATCACTAGTCTTCCCTTCATCTATGCCCTAGCATCTTCTCCTTTTTCCAAATATTCATATCCTTCAAGTGTTCTTGGATCCCACCAGCAAATGATACAGGTTCAATGAGATTCATTTGGAAAATGCAATTATTCTGGAACCAGCTCAGCTCCAGACAGAATTTTCAAAGGGACAGCTACATGATGTAGGAGGCTGGAAAGGCCAAGAAGCCGAGCACACGTGTGGAAAATAAAATTAGTATTATTTAAATCACAATTCTAATGTATGTTCAATGTATTACATCGTGAGGAAGAAATGTCACTTTGGTGTTCAATTTTTATTTCCTTTCTTATCCTATTTAAATATTATAATATCTTAATTGAAACCTGAATAAGATCACATTTAGCTTTTCTATTTTTTTCATTTGAAAATGGAATAAGGAAGTGGTTATGTTTTGGTATTTTACTTATTTTAAATGTAGTTTTCAGGGTGAATGTCATAGCTTTGATACTTGCCAACCAAAGCACTGACTTTACTTACTTTACCTGGGAGAGAAAAAGTTAGTATTGTAAACCATGCTTTGTATGGTTTACAACAGGTTAGTACTGTAAGCCTATAGCATGGCTCCACCTATTGCATAGCTCAGATGCAGATAAAAGCATAAACTGGTCACTAACAAATACAAAGAACTCCTTCTGATAATTAGTATTCTGGTATCTACATGAGTGATTCTGGCCTAAAATTATGACCCAGGTTCCAATGTGACATCTCACTAGAGCCAACTACCTGTCTTTAGTCCTTCACTGATTGCTTCTGGTTCAGAAATAGCACCCAATGTAATGATTTCTGCTCAATTTGTGATGCTTGAGAATGTGTTAATTTATTTTAATCTAATACATTTTTAATGGGCTAAAACTAATTTTTCATCAGCTCAACACATACTTTGTAAGCTCTCTCTTTAGAAACTGATCTAAGTTTGGTGAAGATCTGCTTAACCACTGCCCAGATATTGGGGGGTGGGGGGCTTACGTTTGAAGTTTACTACTTCTTTAAAATTAAACCCTTTTGCCGGCAGTGATCATTAGTTTTTTTGCCCTCCCTATTTGGTTGTCAAAGATATTCACAAATAATGAATCTTTTATTTGGCCCCATGGTATAGATACTAGATCAGCTCTGGGAATAATGGTAGTTAATCAATTACTGTCAAAAAGACAAAGTAGAGAAAGCCAAATTATATTTAATCTGACTCTTAAAGTAATGCTTTTTCTCTAGGTTAAGCTAGATTTGAGCTCTAGATATTTAATGATGGCCTTTCCACATGGCACATCCTCTGAAGAGCCCATGCCATTGATGGCAATAAGACAGCAATGAGATGGCAAAGATAAGGAGGCCAAATGCTTATCAAGTGCTGAACAAGAATAATAGCCAGCTGTTGTGGTTAATAGGATGCAACAGTCAATGTGTGAGAGAAATCTAAGGTAGACAACATGTACATATACACTGCACAATTATACCCGAGTCCAAAAGCATCAACAGTAATTGCCATTTTTAAGGGAGAGATAGAAAGTATGGGCAAAGAAAGGATGAAGGAAGTTGGAATCACTTCCTTGTAGAAATTTTGATGAGAGAAAGTACACAGCAGCCCATCTCTGTGATCTTACAGGGACTCTTCTTTGCCAGCACTTGATAAGCATTTGGCACTGACCTCTTCCAGTGTTTCAAGAAATAGAAAGACATAGAGAGAGAAGAAAATAATTGCATTCCCCTGGCAAAGTATCTAAATCTCAGTTTTGACAGCTGCTTCTGGCCTATGGAGGCATATTTTATCTAAGCCACACAAAGCTAAAGCTACTTCTGACTGAGGCAAATGGAGAAACACATACCTGTGCATTCCTGCTCTCAGGGAGGCAGAGTAACGCCAGTCAGGGTTGGGCTGTCGGGGCTGCAAAAACACAAATGTAGTTTTCTGTTAATATAGCCAAACATAATGTTCTCTCAGTGATGCTGCTAGTTGATTAGTTTTTTCCTTAAATATTTTCATGCATCTAAAAAAAAGGTATTGAATGAGCCATTTCATGTGCAACTCGAAGATGATATCTATATATATAGTACTTAGGAGAAACTAAATTACCTCATCAGGCTCCTTGAAAAGACTAAATGTCATGGCAAACCAGGCTCTGCCTTGCCCTATTCAGAAACTAGGTTAAGACACTAGGGGAAGGGCAGTCTGTTTCGAGACAGGGAAAGCTTTCACTGCTCTTGCCCTCAAATGCCCCATTAAGGGGGCATTTCCAATTCGGTACTCCAGCTATAACAGGACACATGACTATACAAGTTCTGCTGGGCTGGCTGGACTGCAGAGGACTGCAATCTGCTGCACTCTTTGGAGACTGCAGCATGTCTGACCCAGGATGGATGTGCCCAGTCATGACACCAGCACTGATAACACCCTCTTCTGCTGATTGAAGAGGAATACTAGGGAGAGGAAAACAAACCACTGCAGAATTTGACCTTGTTTTGCTACGTAAATCTTTTCATAAAAGTGTACTTGTTCCCTACTCCTCCCTGAGTGCTTTGCCTCCTCACTCCATTACTGTTCAATAAGCTCTAAGAGTAGCTGAAACCCAAGAAGAACCTGACTCATTCGGCACCACCTGTGCATTGGGAAGATCTGTCTACAAACTGTCAATCCAAACTGGAGGGGACAAAGCAGAAAATATGGGCATCTACAGACTGTTTAGGAGTCCCTAAGTGGTGCAAATGGTTAAGCACTGAGCTACTAACCAAATGTTGGCAGTATGAACCACCCAGAAGCACCCTGGAAGAAAGGCCTGACAATGTGTTCCAAAAGGTCACAGCCATGAAAACCCCATGGAGCAGTTCTACTTGGAAACATATGGGGTCGCCATGAGTTGGGATCAACTCTACAGCAATGGGTTTGTGTTTGTTTGTTTGGAAAAACTGCTGGGGAATTATGGGCTGGGTGAAAACAACACAGGAATCACTGGGGACCAAATCTGTTACCATCACTGTCTTATTATCAATTAGCAACGATTATATTATGAAAAACCTGTTACAGACATTCCTCTAGATGTGTTTTCATGGGCAGAGATTAAAGTGGCCCTTTTACGGAATATTGAGATCTGTCTGAGTAAAAAGATGGGAGAAAGAAGTTGTATTTTTCTCTGGATTATCATTATCATATTTGGTAGTCACAAAGCCACAGTAATACCAATAAACCATTTCAAAATATCAATAATTCTTGTTCCTATCATTCTTATAGTTCATACAAAAGACAAAGTGTTTTATAACAACGTATCTGGAGGATTTCATAAACACCTGAGGAAGAAGTAATCAGCATCCAGACTTCCAGATAGATTATGCAATGGCTAGATGGTATTCAAAGGAGACCTAACGGCACAGTGGTTAAGTGCTCTGCTGCTAACTGAAAGGTTGAAGGTTAGAACTCATCAGCCACTCCACAGGAGAAAGATGTGGCAGTCTGCTTCCATAAAGATTTACAGCCTTAGAAACTCTGTGGGGCAGTTCTACTCTGTCCTATGAGTCAGAAACCACTCAATGGAAATGAGTTTGGTTTGGTTTAGTTTAGATGGTGTTCAGAGATTTAGCTAAAGTCAAGGTCCAGAAAAAGCTACAACTCTAAGATACCTTATCTCAAATGTCCCCGCCCCCAACTCTAGCTACCATCTCTGATCCTCTTCCATTCCACTGGCAAAACATGAATACATAAGCTGCTTCATCTTTGGTTTTCAAGTTCTGACAAACTGTTATGTATATTCCATATAAGTTAGCACAGAACTATCTGGATACCAAATGCAAGGCCTCCCATTTTTTACCAGTGGCGTTAGTGGGAACAAAAGAGAAAATATTTGAAAACCATTTTGAAAACATGAAAACTGACTGAAATGCTTTTTTTTAATCTGCATCATCGTCATCTCTCTCCTTACCATCAGCAGTACTAATGTCAGCTTGTCAGCTGTAGAAACCTTCCTTCCAGAAAGACTTTGACATCTGTTGAGTAAATGTTGCCAATTTTTCTAAGACTGGATAACATTCATGATGAAAACTGCTGCAACTTGATCTTTGAAATGAAATCATCAACCTCATTTTGCTGAAAGACACAGTTCTAGCAAGACTGACCAGGAAACTCAGATCACTGAACAATGTCACTTCCTCAGTGATTACACTGTATTTGTCATGCTGCTATTTTCTGTTACAGTCTATCAGCAACATGATGTTTCTCAGACTTATTGGCCAGAATAATTGTCATGAGAGATCTTAGGGTAGTAAGACCAAGCAGGGAAAAGGTAAGGAAGAAAGTAATATTTTGTAAGTCTCTACTCAGTACTAGACAATGGGATAAATATTTTACATATATTATTACATCTACCCTAGCATTTTCTTTCTTCTTTGACAGACCATAAACTCCATGAAAGCAGGGATTACATCTGTCTTGTTCATAGGTATATTCTCAGAGACTAGCAGAATTCTAGCATTTGGTAGGTATTTAAATGTTTTTGAATAAACGAACTACTATGCAAAGTAAACATTACTGTTCTTAAATTACAAAAATGAGAATCTGAACCTGATTAAACTTGGAAAAATCCAAGTCGAAAGGTTATCTGACTACTGATATTCCTGACACAATGAGACATAGGTTAAGGCCTTGGACTAACTGTGAGGCTATTTAGTTCTCTAGTACTTGAATGGTATGCTCCAGGATTATGTTTGGTTTCTATTGGTAAAAAAAAAAAAAAAACACACTTTTTGTTGTCTAAAAGCTTAGACCTTCAGTAGAATAATAGTCACAAAAGCTTGGAGGTTGAGAAGTTAAATTAGGTAGACTGTATGAGTAACATAGTCTTAGTGAAGAAAAAGGACCCGCTTAAGTTTCTATCAAAATTACACAAAAGATTTAATTTTTCCTGCAATAGTATTATTTATGATTTATACCATAGAATATTTGAGATACAGAAGGATGAATCACTTCTTCTAAGATAGATTTTAAATAAAATAGGTTAAAAAAAATACCCTATGCCTGGCTACCATTACTGAACATTTTGATCAAAGATTCCATAGAAGAACCCTGATCAAAAGGGGGAAAACGCAGAACAGAATTTCAAATTCTCATGGACTCCAGACTTCCTGGAGCCATAAAGGTTGGATGAACCCCTGAAACTACTGCCCTGAGATAGTCTTTAAACCTTAAACCAAAAATATCCCCTGAAGTCTTCTTAAAACCAACTAATAGTTTAGCTTAACTAGTAAACAATGTCTGCCTTTTAAGAACTGTCTATATGGGATTAAACTGACAATAGCAACTTAAAAGATTAGATATGTTAACTGGGGGAGGAACAACTCAGAAAAGGGGGATGAGAATGGTTACACAACTTGAATAATGTAATCAATGTCACTAAATGGTACATGTAGAAACTGTTAAATTGATGTATGTTTTGCTATGAATATTCACAACAACAACAAAATAAATAAAATTATTTTTTAAAAAACCCTATGGTATTCATAAACTCTCATAACTACTCAAGAGAATAATAAAATATCTTTTTACCTTGGAAATCCATGTTAAAGTCATAAATAAATGGCACTGAGATACAAGACTGGTGTAGCATCTCCTTTTTGTTCCTAATAGAACTTTTTTTTAAATTGTGCTTTAGATGAAGGTTTACAGAACAAATAGTTGCTCATTAAACAGTTAGTACACATACTGTTTTATGACAATGGTTAACAACCCCACGACATGTCAACACTGTCCCTTCTCAACCTTGGGTTCCCTATTACCAGCTTT